GTGTCAGCAGCTAGATGACTCAAACAAAATAGCAACACATACACTGCCATACCTCCACACATTCCCTCGTCCGAACCTAGCAAGCCACTAGGAAGTCACGAGGGAGCCAAGTCCTGCTCGCAGGTTCTCTTGGCTTTCCTTCAGGTGAACACGTCCAGGAATCCAGTATCCGCAGCCGCCGCAGTANATCGTACACTCCCAAGATCCAACAGTCATCGTGTCAGCAGCTAGATGACTCAAACAAAATAGCAACACATACACTGCCATACCTCCACACATTCCCTCGTCCGAACCTAGCAAGCCACTAGGAAGTCACGAGGGAGCCAAGTCCTGCTCGCAGGTTCTCTTGGCTTTCCTTCAGGTGAACACGTCCAGGAATCCAGTATCCGCAGCCGCCGCAGTAGTACTGTACTGCTGTGTTGTAGTAGCAGGAAATCCAGGTTGTACCCATCCGTTGTCCAAACAAAGACTTGTGATTCCGTGAGAGAAGGAGATACCACCGCCGTCGAAGGGTCGAAGGCACTGTCTGCCAGATGTAGGCTGTGAGATAGATGGTGCCACCTATGTGTTCTTAGCCTGCCCGCCCGTGAGGGTCGTAACGAGGCCGTGCATGCGATATGTGTGTGTATGTGTGTTTTCGTCCTATTTATTATGGCGACAGTCCCCCCATTTTTCGTGGTGAGACGTACTACACTTTTCAGCGTATGTAGAGTACCATACTTTTCAGTGTATTTTTTCGTACAACTACAACAATCCAGGGTCACACAGGAGGGGGTAAACACCAGGGCTTTTTTGCTTCTTTTAATTTCGCCTCATGCCCCACCTTCCTCCGGCGGTGCGTGCTGAATTTTAATTTTATCGCGAGAAGGGTCCAGCCTTCCCTTTCCCTCGTCAACGGTGCTATCGTTGAAGTTTGGTACTCACGAGAGCTTTTTAGCAATATTTTGCGTTCACCCGCAAATTTCGTGAATTTTTCACCCCATGGGGATTCGCCCCCCCCGGTGTTTGCCATCGGGGTTGGGTTTTCGTCGGTTGGCAACGACGTTGTAAAACAAGCCGCCCCCCCCGGTGTTTGCCATCGGGATTGGGTTTTCGTCGCTTGGCAACGACGTTGTAAAACAAGCCAATTCACTTCGTGAACTCGGCAACCAGGTTACCGTTTTTTTTTTTTTCCTCCGTTTATTTTTTTTGGGCGGTAACCATAATGATGGTTGAGTAGATCATGTTGTGCGGGGTGAACCCTCACTCCGCGCAAGGGGGATGATCGCACCACGTTGTGTTAAAATGGTCAAGCACCCTCGAGGCAGTTACACAGTGCTTACAACTGTCTCTGGAAGTGAAAGCACCAGAAAATAAATTAATTCATACGCAGCTGTCATCCGTACGCAAGGAAGTAAGCACAAGATGCCGAACACCCTTAGCAGGATGCAGCGCACCCTTCATGCGACTCGCCGAATATCTCACGGCGCTTCGCGCTTGGTGATGTGAGAGCCTGGTCCGGTGAGAACCCGGCGTGCTCCGTCCCGGCTTTGTAGGGATGCGAGGTCAATGGTCTAACGACTACGGCATGCACGACAATGAGTACACCCCATGGGGATTCGAACTCACGACCTCTGCGACTAGCGGATTACAAGGATACCACAAAACCACCGGGGCGACCGGTACTGGGTACTAGGAGGGTTAAGGCGATCACGCCGCACTTAAAACAGGAAAATAGAGTGGGAGGATTATTTTGGTCCATTCAGCAATATGCCAAATAAATGCCTGTGCCCCAGCCATATTTAAAACTCAGGTAGCTATACCTTCTGCCGACACACGGGCGAGGGAGGCGACCATACCCACTGCATTTAACACACACACCCACATGTCAGTGATGAAACCCCAACCACACGCCTCTATCAGCGGCCACGTCAGGAGGCAATGATGAGATAATGTTCACCCGTGCCCTTCTCACATTGAACGACATGCCATTACACAACAAGGTAAACATGTTCTCCCGCGCCGCACATGCCCCCATACATCACACAAAAAAAATAAGTTGACGAAAATATACACACCCCGAGACGCGTTTGCTCCGCAACCACATAAGGGTGCCATAGTAGAACACCCGACAAACCGAGTTCCCATAAATCTTCCGTCTACAACTTCCCAACATAACATACAGATAGATACACAAGATGGCTACCAAACTGCCTTGTTGAGCTTGTTACCCACAGGGGAGATATCGTTGTATGCTGTCTGGAAAACCGTAGACATACAGGTAGCCTTTCGCTCACGCTATGGATTCATTGCTAATCTATCTTACACTTATTTCTATAGAAATGGATTTGTTGTGTGATATTAAAAAAATAAAAAACTCTGCCCATCACGAAAAAACTGCGGACCGCGGTCTCCCTCAAGGGACTGTAGAGTAAACCGGGGTATTAACGGACACCTAAGCCGCCCCCACGCCAACAGCTCGTTCTCGGGTGTGAGAACGAATTTGAAGCGTATGAAAGTGTCCAGCAGTAGCCTATGTCGTAGGCCACCTCTTAAAAAAAAACAAAGAAAAAACACTCAAGTGTTGATGAGTTATGGCTGTTGCAGTGTACCTGAAGTTTTACCTTGAAACGGAAGATAACACCCCCGGCGCCAATTAAGGGACATTTTGCATTAGTAGTGATTTCTCACGTTCTACCGCATTTAAAAAATTTTCCTTTAGCACGCACCGTGGTGATGGTAATACCAAGCCATTGGGAAAGAAAGAAAAAAAATGGCCAATATACGGGGACAAAAGCGAGGAATCCCCTTGTTTTTTGGGCCTGTTTTTGGGCCGAATTAGGCCCACTTTAGGCGTCGTGCAAAGATGTTGGGAGCGTTTTCTTTCTCGTTTTTCGTTCAGTGACGTGGCAAGCAACCCTAGAACAGACAATATGCAAAGTTTTGGTGCCATCGGAGTTGGTTTCGTCTCTGTATGGCATCCAGACGCCATTTTTGGTCCCTTTCTCGCCCGAAATCGAGCTAGGAAAAGAACGCCACAGCACCTGAACCACTCTAGCGAAGAGCACGCACGCCCCCCACCAAGCGCCACCACACACCCTGTACAACATCGCCGCCCTCCTGGAGACAGCGTTCATATCGGTAGATCATGAGCTCCCCTGGCAACCTTGAGTGCAGCGGTACGCACCCCCCAGCGGCTCCTCAAATGTCCAGCTCCACGAGTGTCCTCGGCAAGCGCCATGCGGAGGAGGCCGTGACCGGGGGCCAACCGCCACGGCAGACAGCGTTGAGCCCTGTTGGACATGGGGGTAATGACCCCACGCTTGTGCTTCCTGCCTCTCACCACAGCAGCAGCCAGGCTGCACAACCACCGTATCATCATTCCGTCTGCGTACACCAACAACAGCATGGCAGTGTACAGCGGCAGCCTCCTCAACAGCAGCAAATGCCACAGCAGTACTCTGCACCCCAAGCTCCCAACTACGGTCAGGACTTACTGGCTCATCACTACTACCCAACAGCAAGTACTACCAGGACGTGTCTCCCCGACGGAAGCTCCGGGATCAACTCCGCCCCAGCTCAGCGTTTCCCATGCTGGCCAGGTAACGGCGGCGACAGCGACGGCAGCAGCCGTCGCTTCTGCCCCTTCTCCGATGGTGGCAGCGTTCACAGCAGCTTTCATGGAGAACCAGCGGAAGTTTGCTGGTCAAGTCGGGCAGACAGCGGCTGCGTCAGTTCCGGCGCAGGCACCCGCACTTCCTGCCGTTCAAGTCGGAGTCTTAGAGACAGCACCGGCGGAAACGGCGACCGCATCTTCCTCCTCTCCGCCTGGGTAATCAGCGGCTGCGGCAGGGAGGGTGTTTACATCCGCACTCCCTGCTCCTCATGCCGGAGTCGTCGCGACAGCACCGGCGGCAATCTCGACAAAATCTACCTCACAAGCCCCTGGGCAGATTGCGGCTGCTGCACAGAGACCACCTGCACTCGCACCTCCTGCTCTCCAAGACGGAATAGCAGCGGCACCAGCGGCGGCCGCTCATGCTACCCCTCAAGTCCCGCCAGGATCGGCGGCTGTGGCGCTGCCGAACCAGGCGGGACCTCCTGCCCCTGAAGTTGCGTCATGTTCGGCGGCTGCGCCGCGGGCGCAAGAGGCGGCAGCCCTACCCATGGGGTCGGTCGGAGCAGCGGCGGCAAGCGGCGTGGTACAAGAATTGGGCGTCACCGTTGCCGACGGCGGTGCTACGAACCAAAGGGCGAGGGGACCGACGAACTTGGTACACAAGGGCATGTTGTTCGAGGCCCTCCTGGAGAAGGTGAGGGATTCGCACCGGCTCGGCTATAGAGGGGCGAAATTCACGTGGAAGACAAGAGCGGTGGACTGCATTACCGAGCAAAAACCCCTGTTCGATTCCGTCCGCAAGAAGTGGCTGCAGCTGCCTCAAGAGTCGAGGATCAAGTACAGGTGCGCCAACTACCTGGACACCCCCTTCCCGACGGAGTCCACCGCTCGGTACTGGTTCAACGAATGCAGGACGCCTACCACAAACACAGGCAAACTTAAGCAACGTCTTTGTTGTTGTCCCAGACAACACACATTGTAGTTTTTCTTTTGTTTGACGCAAAATTGAAGTATGTCGCGTCTTGGCGGTTAGTGGGCATGCGAGGTCATCCGCATTTACAGCCGTAAAGTCTGTCCGGGGATAGAGTGATTTTGACGTAGATACTCCATATTTGGGATACGGTTACGGTGCCAACTACAATGCCCACCGCAGAAATTTGTCCCGGCGAGGAGAAGTAAAGGATAACGAATCTCCGTGCACCTTGTCGGGGACGTACAGGCTCCGGTGTCTATACCATCGCGTAGTCTCACCTGCTGAGACTCTTGCACGCGGGATGTTGGCGAATTCTTGTGAGGCACATAAAGAACACTAGCACAACCTCCTTATGGGGCACCGTCATCACGTTGCCCTCTCTCCCATTGCCGTGATCTGTGACCCGTATGTCTCATGTGACTTTCTTTTCTGGGAACGAAGGTAGCCAGAACCAGTTTGTAATTGTTTTGCATGTCTTTTGCCAACGCTATTGACAACGGTTATCCACGTGTATCGAGTGCAACGAGACTGGACACGTACGAATACTTTGCAGTGTATTTGCCTGCGATCGTTCTTCTCTACTCCTCCGTTCGTTAAGGCCGAAGGTCAACGATAAAGGCCGATTCTGGACTGACTACTGCCCGGGTTTCGAATCGATCCGCAAGCTCATGTAGTCCTCCTCCAACGACGGCAACGGCAATGCGGCCAGAGGTGACGCTACCGACAGAGCACAGCAGGCTAAAGCCGAGAGGGTGAGATGAAGAACGATTGGCCTAGTCGACGGCAGGTATCCGATTGGGTTAGACCGTCATATAGCGAGAGGATGGAAGGCCACGTCGGACAGTCTACGTTGGTGATGCTGTCACACAGTGAGGGAGTTAGGCGTCGGTTGGGACTGCGCGACAAGCCTTTGGAGGTTGGAAATCCCCTCGAATTCCGCGTGTAGGCCATGCTTTTAGCACCGAGAGTATGGTACTACCACCGTGAATCGTAACCCCGTGTCTGCCCTATTACGAATGTTTCATTGTTGGTGACACAGCGCGTCAAACGCTCGAATTTTCGCGGTTGCACCATCACTCATGGTTCCGGCTCGGAAACGTGGTCGGATTTTCAAGAACTCAGATCACAACCCGAGTTTACCCCCCCCCGACCCGCAAGACGAGCATTGAAGTTCGAGACTTCGCGAATGGTTGGACGAATGTCCAGCCTTCCCGGTTTATCAGTTCCAATGCCTCACCGTTTCCCTATTTGATACGGCCATATGAAACGCACGTGGCAGATGGCAGCCAGGCAAGCCCAGCAGGAGGCGAGGGGAAATGATACAGCAATCATGGAGTCACTCCAAGACCAGGCGCAAAGCCAGGGGGAGCGCAACGTTGAGGATGTGGAGAGGGCGGAAAAGCACCTGGAGGTAGCCCGCCAGAAGAAGGATATCCTGGAAGCGCAAGCACGGGATTCTGCAGCCAGAGAGAAGGCTAGGGACGCGAAGACGGAGCATTATCGGCAACAGAGGTTGGTTGCTGAAGCCGACCGTGCGAAGAAGCAAGATGCGCAGGTAAATGTTGCCATAGTTCGGCTCCAGTGCTCGTTCCGAACGACGCTAAGGGTTGCGTTGGTGACTCGCATCATGTGTCGGGTCGTTGGTACCTCACAAAAAAGATTGGGCGCCCCGCGTTTTCCGAGTTCGGGGTTTATCTTGCAGAGGACATGACCCGCGATATGCATTACCCCTAACTCAGTTGATTGAAAAGCGTAGGCAAGCCTGTACGCTCGGTGGGCTGAGTGCACGCATATCCCCGGAGTTGTCTCCCGCATTCGGGCCCAAATAACGTAGTTTGATTATCTTGTGGCTTCCACATCTCACATGCATATGGTTTGCTCTTGGTTCGATGTACTGCCCCCCTTTGCTTGAACCGCATGGTCTGCAACCCGTTCGAAAAACAGCACGAGGATTTGCTGGACTTCATGTCGTCCACGTTCCGGACTCCTGTAGGAGGCGTTTTCATCCAATGGGACTCTTATGAAAAATTTTGGGAGTGTCTGCCCGATATATCCCAGACGCGGCGAAGAGTCTCGTGACCGACGCGCTGCCCACCTTTGACGGAGCTGGTGGACTTGGCCAAAGATAAAAAATTCGCGGCTACCTTGAAGGAAGCAGGAGTGGGGACGATTCCCGCCACCCGGATTGCCAACTTTATCCAAAGGACTATCTATGAAAGCAGGTTGTTTTCTGTCCTTTCTCAAACATGTGGCACCTGCTTGCGTTTTTGGCGGTAGCGTAGTGTTGCTTGAGTTACGGGGTGTGGTGATGGCTTTCAGGGACGGGGATAAGAAGTTCGCGGTTTTGGGTGGGGAGTATGGGGACCGGGCTGTTTCTCGAACCCAGCATGAGGTGGCTCTCGCGTAGTACTTGGAATGCTTGCGCGGTTTACACGGTTTCTCGGCATGTATCAACACGCGTACGTATAAATTATTGTGACGGGGGTTGGGGGGTTACGGGAACGGAGAGAGGGGACTACATTGTGATTTTTTTTTCAATTACGTGTCACATTTTCTAGCGAGGCAGCTGTTGAAATACAACGATCCTCATAGAAGGGGTAGTTCGACTTGGAGGAGGTGGCCTCGATAGCAGGAGAGTTTTTCATGTCGATACTTGCCAAAATGTTGTGTCCACGTAAACTGTGATCGCGTGTTCGATACCCCCGGCCCCATAGCACGAACGTATGAAGCACATTTTGGGGAGTTGTAAGCTTGTGACATAGACTGCTTCGGCAGGCGACTTCGGCAATCCGTCTCAACATGCGTGGTTCGTGCTTTGTTGCGAAGTTTGCATTACTGCAAAGGTGCGTTACTCCGAAGGCTTTGTTTCGGTCGCGGTACTTTTACAAGGCAATAAGGAAAAGCCTTGAGACCGGAGGTGCTTCGGCGATGTATACGTAGTTCCTTTGTCATTGCTCACCGGCTACTTTGCCTTGTGGAAGGTGCAAAATTTTCAGAAAGGTAAAAGCTTGAGGAAGGCCCTCTTGAGATGATTGTTTCCGACGCAACGCCACGAAAACAAGTCGCTCTGCTTGGAACAAACAAAAATGGGACCGGCTGCCGAACGTACCTCTGATCTTTTCTCCGTCAATCGATAGCGCGTCCCTAGGAGACTGGACCTCCCACACCCTACACGTTGCTACTGCGAAGTCCTGGTGCGATAACACCAGCCCCAACCACAACGGACATCCAAGTCAACAGACAACACAACGAATCAAATCCAACCTTTGTAGGCACGTCTCGCTGCACGTCTCGCTGCACGCCCGCCTCTCGTAACTGTCCCCCCGCGCTCGAAAATATCGGCACGTAGAACAGTATAGTCTACACCATAAAACCCTGCGGGGTCACGCCAGCCGGCGTCCGACCCCATTCGCCCGTCAGGTAGATTTCCTACAACATATCGGTGAAAAACAACCACGACCGGCGCTATGTTCGCCTACTAGATTTCAAGCGCCGAAACGCTAGCCCAACACTGCTGCAGATGCTCAGCGCTCCCTTCATTCGCGACGCCATACACGTAGTTCTCTCCCTCGTTGTGGACAAGATAGCTTTTCGGGTCCTCGTAGTCCCAGCAGAGGTGGATTCCGAGCTTCACCTCCCAGGCCTCCTTCACGCGTCCAGTCCACTCCGGGCTGCGCGGATACCTGTCGCGAACCCTCATTATCCGGGCTGTGAGCCTAGCGCACACGTTGAAGACGTCTTTCTCGAAGTCCCGTCGGTGCCTAAAAGCCTTGCCATTGCCCACTACCTTCCACTTCTTAATCTGGCCTTAGATGTTCTCTACTACGACCCTGAAACGGCGCTGCTCTGTGTTGAACCGCCTCTCTTCATTAAAAAGATCCCCCTGTTGCGGCTTCCTGTAGGGTACGCACATGGGCAAGTCGCTGCCTGCTCGCGCGTTCCCTACGTAAGCACCGTCCCCCATACCGACCTCGTCGACTGACAGGAACTCCTCAGGATGAGTGTACACCCTAGAAGCGACATCTGCTCCCCTGTCCAATTGCGCTCCAGCCACCGTCTCAATCTGCACGTCTTCACACCCGACAGGACAACAGGGGGACAAAGGTGGCGGGTTCCTTGTCATGTGCTCCACGATTTGTACGAAAGGTAGAACAACTCTTCACCCCAAACTATACGGCAATCTACATACGAATCAGCCTATGTAGTTAATGTCAATCTTCGTTTGGGTGCTTAACGCTTTGCGCGGACAAAGGTTTTTCCCGAAACTCACGTCACCGAGGGTACTTTGCCGGCACATATCGGTACGTCGAGTAGAACGCCCCCCCCACCCCCCATTCCGACTGACTTTTTGTTAGCACTTCAACATGCGCCACGGAATTCCGACTTGCATTTCCGAGCGCACTGGAATAACGTTCCGGTCGCACAACACACAACACTGATGGAAGACGTCTACTCCAGTAGACATCTTTGAGCGATTGACAACAGAGTGGTCCTGGTGGAGCGAGGGTCGTAACTCGAGTGAGCTCCTCAAGACGACTTAGCATTTGGGACTCCGATCGAAGTATACGACGCACCCGTGTATCGGTTTGCCCCTGACGTTGCAGTAGACGATATGGCTAGTTCCAAGGCCCTTGTTACCGGAGTAGTTCGCCTGATGCACCGGGGCGTGAGGCTCTGGTTGTCCCTTGCCGACCTGCACGGGATTCAAGCGGCGGGCGAGGGAGTGTGAACAAATGTCCCGCATGCGCACGAAAGGCGAATAGTTCAAACTGTAGCATAGGGTAAAGAGGGGGGAGAGCGGCCTACCAACAGAGCCCATCGCAACCAGCACAGGTCTGGACAAACCAACGTCGCATAGACAGACAATCCGCACGGGCTAATGCATACCCATTCTTTCGAGATACCCCGCGAAAAACACAAAGCAAGATTTTACCCACGTTATGCATGACACACAAAAGCAACCAACAAAGGTGCTAGCCTTTTAAGTCCTACCTTGGCAGGGTTCCGCATGTTCACCATGGTGCCGTCGGAGATGTAAGCTACACGAGGGAAATCCGGGTGACCCCAGATTTGAAGAAAAGTGCAATGAGCTGCCCGCTCCGCTGCGTCAGGCCACTGGATCTCCTGTACCACACAACCATGGAAGCGAAGCGAACCTATGTGTCAATTTCATCTCGAAATACAGCAGTGTGAACTTATCGCGCACAGCAGACTCTCCTTACGCAACTCCTCCACGCGCTGACAGGGAGCGTGTACGCGTCAGATAAAGGGATTGATGGCACATTGCGGTGGGCTCGTGACGGGCTAGTGCTGGTGTCGACCGTTGGCCTGTTTCCGCTGACGGTTCTGCAGTAACACGAGGTGTACGCATGGCTCTAATCCTGAAAGTCTTCCCTCGAGTCATGCCAAATATCACTTGCCACTCGGAATTCTTCAGCGTATCATGAGTCAAGTTTGTGCTTTGTAGAATACAACTGCAAATCAATGCATGCACTCTCACCGCTTGCAGACAAGGCATGTTCTGCGCGGCCGCCGTCATGTCCGTTATGATTCGTCCCAGCACACCGTCGATATGCGAGGGCCATGTCCTCGAACAAAGTGTCCCTCCTGAGCATCTCCAGCCAGCACAAAACTCGGTCTCTGTCATCCATGCTCCCCCGTATGACCAGCCTGGCCTTGTTGTCCTCCGCCGAGTAGTTTCCGAGGTGGTTCCGAGCTTGCCCAAACAGCGATGAGCGGGCGAGACGGTTTCCCTCAGCATCCAGGAACGTGTCTTCGTAGAAGGCCTCGAACTCGTCCTTATCCATCCCTATTTTGTAACGAATCTGGCTGCTACTGTGGGCATCATAGATCCCACCCTCCTCGTTAGGGAACCGAAGGGGCAGACGTGCCCGACTGGCAGTGTCGTTCGCGGCGCTGTTACCCCTGCCGATGCCAGGGAGTAGGGGTCCGAGCTTCTTCAGTGTATGCCGATAGGTTAGACCCCTATCTATGCATATCCTCCTTCAACTCGTCAGCATCACGACTGTCCACCACTGCAGGCGGGCACATCATCGCCGCGACGGTGGAAGCTTCGAACTGGGTTTTGTTGCTGGTACGTCATGATTGCTCTTCCTCTTCGTCCCCTACGTCGTCGTCATCATCGCCGAGAGCTGCAGCGGTGGAGAAGTTGATGCTTTTCTTCCGCTGGTACATCAAGACAGCCAGCTTTCTTTTTCACGAGTCAAGGGTCAGCATGGTTGACCTTGCGTCGGCCGCAGCAGGCAGAGCTCTGGCGATCAAGACGTGTAGCAGCAGCAAGGCTGCACCGAGGGTCCTCGTGCCAGTGTGTGGGTGTACAGGAGACAGCAGCTTACGACACCGGAGGCCTCGTCCCAAGCCTACAGTCCCTTGTGGGAGACCGGGGTCCGCAGTTTTTTCGTGATCGGCTGAGTTTTAAATATGGCTGGGGCACAGGCATATATTTGGCATATTGCTTAATGGACCAAAATACTCCTTCCGCCCCAAATCTGAGTTTTAAATAACTCTGCCTTGGAGGGCTAGGTCCAAATTTTTTGGGTCGTTATGGTGTTTTCCACCCCAAACAAATCTAACATTTAAAACTCATATTTGCCAAATTCGCGGGACTGTACGTGCATTTGGGCAAATTTCTGAGTAATGTTTTTATTTTCGTAATATCACACAACAAATCCATCTCTCTATGGAAATATTCTAATGGGCACCGGAACTTTTTGTTTTGGGGACAGGAGTTTTTTTTGTCAGGCTCTCCAAATTTCCTGCAGGATGAAGGCAGCCGAGGGACGAACCGACACCGGTTCCAACAGCACAACTCAAGGGCAAATCTGCAGGAGGCCAAGACCAAAGGAGGAGAAGAGTTCGTTACTAAAAGCGTCGGAGGAGATTTGTTCTGGATTGTGGTGGAGTGTGGCACGCTAGGCTTTCCCGCGTGGCGCGCTCGTACACCTGCCACGCTCGCAGCAGGCTGTACATCCCAAGCACGAGAAATAGGTCTTCCTCACCCACTAGCGCACAATCGTGGTGATTTTTATGCAATCCACGTACCGCCCGCCTTCCATCCTCCCTTGTGCTTGTCGCGCCATGGCCGTAAGCGCCCTGCTACAGCGAGCTGCTGCTGAACAATAACACAACCAGGGCAGTCACACGCTCACACCGCAGACCGCAGCGCGCCGCGCGCGCTGATAATAGGGTTTCGAGCAAATTTCCCGATAAATTTTTGTTTTTCTACGAAAACGGGGTTCGCACGGGGTCGAACCGATACAATGCGGCCCGACTCTGGGCAGCATCTTTTCTACAGCAATATAGCAAGCAACTTGGCTTTACAGGGAATTCGCCACAGGATTAGCTGGACCGGATAATCAACGGCCTTACAGGAAATCCCGGGGGGAAACCCTAGACTAAGGGCCAATCGCTCGGTCTCGCCACAAATTCAACACGAGAAACAGCAAAATCTCCCCAAGGAGCGTCGTCTCGAGCGTCGCCGACCACCTTCTCAAGAGCCGAACAAGGAAGAGGTGAAAAGCACACGGTGAGGGTGTACTTTGTGTGGAGGACGAATCGGTGACAGGTGTGGATTGAATATATCCTTATCATTGCCGTTGTTGTATTTGTTGTTGAGGTGGTTCGTGTTGTTGCGACTGCTGCTGCCCCTGCAGGTAACCTGAGGCTGTGAACTGGAGGCAGCTTTGTTTCATCCACAAAATGCATGGCACTACAACTACAGCATACTGATAGATGGTTTCGTGATGCAGAAACAAACGACGCTCCACAACCGGATGGAGGGCAACCGCGGCGGCGGCGACCGTGAGCGGAGGGGCGAAGGTGAACCTCAGGAGCCGGAAGAGGGCTGCGACCGGCAAAAGCGCGGCCCCAAGGACGCGA